TTTATGAATACATAGCATGCAATGTGCTCAATATTTTTGCACGTAACTTTTTTCTTAACGTTAGGAACAGGAGACCCAGAAACTTAATACATACTCTTAAATTCTACTCAAAAACTGCAAATGTAAAGTTGTAGTATTAGAGAAGGTTATCATCCATTTTTATTTATTGTAGTACTTAGAAATTAGAAAGTTTTAACTGCTTAAGATGTAACGAATCTCATGAACACAAATAAATATATCATAACTTTAATTACTTCTTTTCAAAAACGTTCAGTTTTTTTATACGCATTGTTTATTGCAGTGAAAACTAATTTCACTTTACTCCAAACAAAAACTCGGGAATCGATTGTCTTTAATTAGTTCGTTTTGCATTGTTAACAAATTAACTCATAAATGTATTATTATCTTAACTTGTTTCCTGACAGAAAGTTTTGGACTCATTTTAAACATTTACAATTCATTTTATGCTTAGTTATATCTATATATATAAAAATCTCTTGTCACAGTTTTAGTGGTTAAACTCCTCCTAAACGGCTGGATCGATTTTGATGAAATTTTATATGTATATTCAGTAGGTATGAGAATAGGTTTATAACTAATTTTTTTTTCATTTTTTGGACAGATTTAACGTATATTTTAAATATATCTTTATTTAATCATATTCCAATCCAAACTAGACATAGAAACCTGATAAATCAAAAAGTAATATTCACGCACGTTGCAACAATTCACTTTAAACTCTAATACTTATGCTCGCCCTTAAAAGAAGAGCATCAAATATATTTGCAAGTATGTGAATAAAGGCAGTGATATGGCAGTATTTCGAGTTGAAAATACCAATGTGACCGCTTTTCCAGTGAATAACAACGACGAAATAACGCTCTACCAAATTGGCCGGTACATCAGCTCCAATGAAGCTGTTTGTCGCAACTTTGGATTCCCTATTCATGATCCTACCGTTAGTCATTTAGCCGTCCATCTTGAAAACGGTCAGCGCGTATATTTCACGAACGAGACAGCGATTGACAGAGCTATAAATCCACCAAGAACTACACTCACCGAATTTTTTTGAATTGTGTAATCGTGCGGATGCGTTTGATGCCTTTGCACAGACATTACTCTGTTCAGAAGTACCACACTATTTCACATGGGCTCAAACAAAAAGAAATGGACTTCCCGCAAGCAAGGCACACCGATGAAGGCCGTTGTCCCGGTTTATTCAAATCAAACGCCTTGGGGAGAGCATTTACAGTCAATCCAAGGCAGACTTAGTGCTTTTATCTTCGAATGTTGTTGGTTAATGTCACCGGCTCATTGTCATTTCAAGATATACGTAAAGTCGATGGACATCAGCATCCAACGTATAAAGATGCATG